GGAACCCACTGTTAGGCCCCAAATTAGGCATAATTATATGTGTTCAAGCATTATGTAAACTGTCTGCAGATGCAAACTATTAGGAAAAGAGACAGGATTCCTTGAGAAAATGGAGAAACACTGCCACCTGTTGGACAAAATTTAACAGTAACAGCTTTCAGAAGTACTAATTCTCATATGGAAAATAAACTAAAGGTTTTTCAAGAACTAAATCCTAGGGTCTTACTTAGAGTCCACTGAATATTTGGACACTCATCCTATATCTACTAGACAACATGATATATAACAGAAAAATTCAACACGCAGCACAAATTAATGGTAATTGGCTCCAATCACATCTCAATAGTGGGTTTCATTTAAAGTTGAACTCTTAACTCCCTGACATTTCTGGTAAGAATTCAGGCATAAAAACAGATAATTAAACATAAAAACCCTCAGTAATTTTTATGATGTGTGTTTCTGGCCCCTGAAAGTGTCACTGGAGTACTATTTCCAGTAAACATTCCCTATGATTGTTTCAGGAATAGGGTATTGGCCAGAATATAATTGTCCCCCTCCTCTTGAGTCAGAAATAGTATTTCCTAAAGGAACATGATTTAATAGTCTCAGGTCAGCTGTAACTGATAAAATAAGTCAAGGTCTATCATTACCTATTTATCTGTCTCTCTTTCTTTTTTAGTATAAAAGTTACAAAGAGAAGCTCTACTGAAGCCGTAGTTTCTCACAGAGCGAGAAGCCATGTCTCTCTCCCATGAGGTGGCTGGCAAGCTAGTTATTGACACACATCATACATTAAGCTCTGGATCCGATCCATGGATTTACATGGATTCAAGCAGGCAATAATCTTGTGAAGTAGATGGCACTGCATCTTTTACAGATGGGGAAACAAAGGTTAGAGGGGTTGTCTTGTCTCTGGCTATCTAGCCGGTAAGCAGAAAAGCAGCTACAGGTACCCAGACCGTTTGCTCCACAGTCTGTGTTCTGGTCGTCCTGATAGCCTGTCTTCTCCCAGAAATGCATATGGTATAGAGTGAAAGGGATGGGCATTGTGACCAGAGAGTCTGAGTTGGAATCCCTGGCTTGATCAGCATCGTCACCAGCTATAGGACTGCTCCTGAACTCATCACCCTCCAGCCAGGATTCTACTGTGTCCTCTAGGTGGCAATAGCCACCATAACTACACTTGGGAATTACTAAGGCAATGGGGACTGTCTAAGGACTGCTTTTTTGGGGGTTGGAGAAAGAGCACCCTCTAATTGTGCTAACCACCAAAAAGTAGAACAAACAGCTTTAAAACATTACGCTTGATACTTTAGAAGCATAATAATGTTGACCTTGGAGTTCAGCTACTCAAAGCTGAATTTGCCCTGGGTCACAGAGAGAACCACAGCAGAAAGAGGACTAGAAGTCTCTTCTAACTCCCAACTCTCTGTTCTTTCCTTAAAGAATGATCATGCTTTATGATACATAGGCCAGGATTTAATCACTTAGTATTGGTTTTAACTCAGTTTGATATTTTTATTGATAGAGGGATGAAAACTTGAATATTTTCTGCAGCATACTATAGTAAATTTTCTCATTTACATATATGCTATCATTTTTTATGTAAATGTCCTCAGATGTGAATACTGCAATGCAAAAGAACTCAGAGAGTACAGTACTACACTTCTACTGGGAGATCTAGTTATGCATGGACAATGCAAAATTTAAATTTGTACTCCATCATTTATAAAAATATTTAAGTAAAAAATAAAAAGAACCAAAGTATCCAATTTGTGAATGAGCTTAAATCCTCAGTTAGTATGCAAATCATTTATTTGGAATTACGCATTTTCCTTTTGTAATAATTGGTGTCCAGATTCTCAAGACAGCCCTCTGAAGTCTAGTAAATTCCCTTCCATGGCTCCAATGTTTACATTTGTAATGGAACTAGTTTAAAATGAATACTCATGTAATGCTAGTAATGGAGAGTATTTGAAATACAGGGAAAAGGGCTGGATACCTGAGCTTTCAAGTCCTCGGAAAGGAGGAAGGTAAGGGTTAATACTGATCATATAGTTCGAGATTTGGACACTAGGTGGTGCTATTGAACTAGAACAGCTCTGTTATTTGCCAAGTCAGGGTTTATCATGAGAAATGTTCATCTAAGGACCGTTCCTATCACAGATACTTATATATGCTCTGACATTTTTTGCTTACTTATTTTGGCTTTTAACACTATTATTATTTTAGCTCCTAAAGAGATTATGACTAAGAAAAATAGTGAGAGCTCACAGCATGTCAGCTTCTAAGAGCTTTCAGCCCCTGAAGGTGTCCTGCAATACTATTTCCAGTAACATTCCCTGCGGAAAAAAGCATTCATTACTGCTCATGGCTCAGAAACAGGTGAGTTCTGCCCCTTCTTTCCCATTTCAGTGGATGCTTATAAGTTAGTCTTTCTGCTTCTCTGGGTTGGCTCCAGTTGCTCATTTTTCAAAGGTAAGTAATGAGCAAATTGAGATTAATCACTAAAAAATGAGACTGTATTGGTTAAACCAGTGAGGTTGCTCTTAAGTAGTAAGTCTGTTTGTGGCTTGTTTTCCTAATTCAAACTCATACCCAGGGTGGTGGAGTTACTGACTGCTCCCCTATGGTACTTGCCTCAGTACCAGCAGTTGTGTCCCATCCCCCCACCCCCCCACCACAACCGGTTGGGAAGAAATACCTGAGCCTGTTCTCTTGGTTATCCAATCATGCTAAAGCCTTAATTTTTATTTCATCTTGAGTACTTATATCCTAAACTTTTTCTGAGATATTCTAATGGGGTCTCCAAAGAATGCAAATGTTAATGTAAGAAAGCTTTATTTAAAAAAAAAAACTTCTAAAGACTAAATTTCTCAAATATTTTTGGTAGGAAACAAATTTACTTGTCAGCACACCTTCCTAAAGAAATAAATGCAGGTGGGAGAATGTGGAGGCAAACAGTCAAGCTGTTATTTAGGGAAGTTGTCAACTTCCCAAAGTGGTAGATTATCGGAACAAGTAATACTGATTGGACACAATTAGTGAACAACATTCTAATCCAGAATAAGGGACAACCCATTGGCTAACAGACTTCACTATTTTCCTAGCTCTTCAAAAAGTTAATGGTGCTTTTTCTTCAGTAATGAGACAGCTGTAAATATTTTTCACATTGCTGGAAGGGGATTAACTAAAACTCAGCACACACCTGCATTTCTTTAAATAACAAGAGAAGCACCGGAGAAAAGCAGCCAGTGAAGTGTTTGCATGTTAATCCAGCTCCTCTCAGCTCCAGGTCAGTCAATCTACAAAGATTTAAGTTTCACTACATCCCTTTGTGTCTTAGATTTTAATGTCTCTAGGCTACTCAGTTATACAGATCTTTTATAAAAAGCAAGAGCAATGATTTTAGTGTACCATAATCAGTGAATCTGTACTAAAAAAGGCACTGTCAGGTGCTTCTGGTGTGAAATGACTACAGTGATTTGCTGCTATTCTTCCTTGAGCCAATCTGACACCAGCTTGCTGGTTTGTGGCAACAAGAAAACAATACAGGTGCTAGTCTCTGCAGAGGCTAAAATATATTGAGAAGCTGGCCAGGAGCAGATGTTCATGCCCTATCTTCTGCCTCGAGGGGCATGGAAACTCTTCTGGACAGAGCAACTGTGGAGTTTCACCTTCAATATTACTGTAGAAGAATCTCTCATGAAGATGCCCCAGAGGCCAGAGAACATGGTGGAAGTTACTGAAGAATCACACGTGTGTGCAATACCACACGATAAAGGCCAAGAGTGGAAATAACAGTGAATAGTCTACACCTTTTCTTCAAAGGAGTCTAATTTAGGATAAGACCCCTCCGTGAACAAAGAACACAGTTAATGTTGTCTTGTAGGGCTAAAAAATTGGTCACAGCATGACTCCTTAAACTGCCTGTTGTTGAATGGGGAAAGGAAGGTCTAGTTTAAAACTGACTAGGGCTTATTATGGTTCTAGCAATTCACACCACATTTCCTGTTGAGGAGACACCGCTGCAGTGCACACGGTTGGGCTCTCAGTTCTGTTCTGCATGTAAGTACCTAGGATTTCTCTCTGAATGACAGAGTTGGGGGACTGAGGCAGTATCCACCAGCCAGCCAGCTTCCTCTTGCAAGTCATCAGCGGTGGCAGGGACACCTATGTAACGTGATCCAGGGCTCCCCTAGGCAAACACCAGTTTACCTGGGCACTGGTACCTGCTGAGGATGCAGGTGTGGTGCAGTGGAATGTGGAATGTGCAGCAGCAGGGACCTTTTTATCTGCTCCTTATTTCTCCAAAGAAGAACATTGGCTCCCGTTTCAGGATGACCAAATGAGACGACAATAGGTTAGTGAATAAGTAGGCAAAAGGCTTATTGTGGCAGCAGTAGGATAAGGAGAACAGGAAAGAAACAAACAACCTTGTTTGTCTCTCAGGATAAAATAATAATGAGAAAAATAAGTGATGGATTTCTGAAAGAAATTGTATTTGCAGGGATCCTATGGGCAAACTCTGTAATCGCTCTGCTGTATTCTCTTTCTTGCTTCTATTGGGAAACCACTACATTTGTTAGAAGAAAATCAGTTTGCTCATTTCAGTTTGCTCCTATTCTACTGCCAGGGTTTGGTATGCCAGAGTGTTTTTGTCACATGAAAGTCAGGACAGAGATATTCCATCACATGAAGGCTCCTTCACACACCCGTGTTCCCATCCGTGGGCTCTGACCAGCATGTGCCTGGTCACTGGTCACCCTGGCAACGCTTGTCGGCAACACTTCCCAAAGGGAACCATCAAACCTTTAAATCATGGCAGTTTGAGTCTGGACTTGAAGCCCAAGATTTTGGCATGTGAATCTTGTGGTTCTAACCTTCCTTTGCCAGACAGGGGAGCTTCCCTTCATGCACACAAGAGGTAATTTCACGCCTCTGTTGCCTGGGCCCTTTGCAAAGTGAGTAACCCTTGAAACAGGGAGGAGTTGAGTTACCTGGGTCTTTGTAGATGCTGAGCACACCCTTGAAGTAATGAGGTAAAAATCTTTCCAGTAAAAGCAGCACATCTTCCAGCTCCTCAAGAATCCCCACGAGCAGGAAGTTCTCATTCACGTTCAGCTTCGCTCGCTCAAGGGCCCACTCACCAGGCTCCCTTTACGGACACAAAGATGATTTTAAAATCAAATATTCATTTTCAAAATGCAGTGACAACATGCTGAAAATCTCTCTGTCCACCCGCCACCACCTGCGTCAGTCCACATCCCATTCCTGCAGGGCCAGCTTGCATGCGGCCACCTCCAGCTGGCCTTCCGACGGGCCTTGTCCTCCACGGCTCTCAGCGCAGCCACGTCTACCTGTGCGCAAGGCGTCACCCAAGGCCTTGCACTCAGCCTGCCTGAATGTTCATTTGGAAGAAGAATACAGGCATCAGGTAGGTCCTAATAAACACGGATCAAGGGATGATTAGAATGGCTTTTTAATTGGAGGACCAAACCCCACTTACAAAGTTATAAGTTTGAAATATGAAACTTACTGACATGGTATTTCTGGAGAAATCAAAATAGGTATCAGATTATGTTGGGTAATCCTCTTAGTCTTTTAAAGAGTTCAAAGACAAATCTTTTTTTTTGAATTACAGAAGGAAAACAGCCTAATCTCCTTTGTAAGGCAGCTTGCTGAGCCGACAACAGTTACGTGACTGGGAAATTCTGATGGGGATCATAGCGGCTGCTGGGCTCCAGGCCTGGCTGGCATTTACCATTCAGAGGAATTTGGGCAAGCCAGGGTTCTCTTTTGTAAAATGGTAATAATAAGCTTCACCTAGCTCAACTAATTGTTGTCAAGGGGGAGCAACATAACCATTTGAAAGAGGTTTGAAAATGATCATATGTGAACTGAGATAAGGCACCATGATACTCTTCCCGAGGGTAGAAAGTATATAATTAAAAAAAAACAACAAACACTTGAAGGAGTTAGAATCATGTTTCTTGGAACAAGTATCTTCATTGTGCCAGAAAGTGAGTTATCCGGTCGGAATCTTCCCAGTATCTGAAGCAGTAACCACCGTGAACCAGGAGGCATTTGTTACGGGGGTGAGGGTGGTGGGGGCTCTTGAACCCAGGACGTTTATGACGAAGCACAAACCCAATACTTCTTGGTGCAGAATAATGACTGTAAACAAAGCCTTGTGTTGTGGTGAGCTCAGCAGAGCAGCCATAACAACACCGGGAATCATTCAGCAGCAATTGGCCCCGAACAAAAACATTCAAGGAGTGAATGGGATTTAGAAACAGGTGTCTCCCCTCGTTCTCAGGAACACAACCAACCCTCTGATCAACGTTCCCTTTGGGGAAAAATGTCTCTTCTGGGAGCAGGCTTTATTTTTCTCCAAGCAAAGATAATATCCCTCATCACTACCATTTCTTCTCGAGGCTATACCTTTGTCTAATACAATGGATTTCAACTGCAGCTAGACCAGATCCCTGAAGGGGTGGTTTCAAATGCCTGTGCCCACCTCTGGGACTGTGATTAGGTGTGTGTGTAGGGGTGCTCCTGACTAGTACCCCAGGGACGCTGCGCAGGAGGTGGGCAGACCGCACTTCCAGGGCCTTACTATCAGAGCGAGTCATTTTCTAATAAGGTCTTGCTTCCAAGGAAGCCTGAGGGGTAAGCACGAGCAAGCACTCTCCTCTTTTTCTACTGTGTCTCCTAAGAGAGACAGTATGGGATTTTGGGTGTGAGCGCCCAGGGCCTTAGACCCAGCTGGACATGCCGTGCGGGCCAGCACAGTTGTTGCAGAAGCCTAGGCTTCACTCTCTCAGGGGCCGCGGAGGGACAACCACGAGTCAAGCACACACACAAAAAAAGTGGTTGGTATTCCAGCTACAAAGCTTTATGGGGTGGTCCCACATCCTCTGTCAGAGTCTGATCTGTTAATTTCTTTGCTTATAGGACATCTAGAGTCTCAAATGCGAACCTTAAAGATTAACCGCAAACATTAACTGAATTTCGGAAGGTTGAGAGACGAGAGATTCCAAAGACACCGGCCAGTGTCAGCTGGTGGGTTTTCTGCCTTTGCTCTCCACATTAGCATGCTGTGAGCCTGTTGTAGTCTTTACCTGCATCTGGGATGCTGTCCACAGAAATACGGGATGATGTAAAATAATCTGGGGTTGGAACACTCAGGATAGTTTTCAAGAATACACTCATTGATATCCTAGAAGAGAAAACACGGCAGTCAGATGTCTTGCCGTCTCTGTGGTGCTTTGTCAAATGCTGCAGAGTGGTAAGTATAATTGGTGCTTAAATCACATGGGCAAGCCTTGAGGAGATGCAGAGAATTCATGGATTTCATGAGTAGACTCCCTTTTTGCCTCACACCATTCTGTTCCACTGGCCACATATGGTTAGGGCATTTCTGAGAGGGCCTATTCTGCTGAGGAAACTGCATTTCTGCATTTCCCAGTGGCCTGAAGTCTTTAGCTGGGTCACAGGCACCTTGAGAGAACTTCTACCCAGTGTGATTTGTTGAGCCCCAGAAGTTACCAGTCAACTGATATACAGCTGGCACTGAACAGATATTTGTTGAATGGATTCAATGTGACATAATCCTTAATAATTCTGAATTAATCAGAGATCCTTGTATGAGCAACCCTGTAGAAATGTGTTTCCCTGTGTATCCACACATCCTACAAATAATTGTAAGTACCTACAGTGGTCACTTAAAGGATCTGTAGACTTTGGAGGGGCTGTAAAAGCATTACTAATGTTATATTGGATTTGAAAGTGACAGGATGTTTGTGTACAGACATTTTCCCACTTTCAAAGGCCACAATTGTAATTTCCAGATTTTCTATTTCTCTTCTATGAGGTTGTACATTGTGTTTCTGTTCACATCACAAGGGCTTACACTGGCTTGGTGGGGCCTAACAGTCAACTTCTATCAAGGCAGATGACACTGGATACCCCAGATAAGACATGCCTGGTACTTAAATATTTCTAAGGAGAAAAGAAAACTCAATGTATAAACAAACTGAATAGCTATGGGATGTTTTTCCAGAGACAATACTGACAAAGCAGAAAAAGAAGGGATGGTACTTGCAAACATGGTCACATAGTTGATGGTGTTTATAAGGCAGCTGAAGCCACTGTATCTGATATGACTGGGGTAGGTGATTAGTTCAAATTGGGAATCACAAAAATATATCTTAAAAAATTTTTTTTACAACTTTTCTTTTCCCTTCATACTTCTTTGGTTTATATCCCAATTACATGAATTATACAATTACAAGGACATATTCAACTGGAACTAACAAATTTAGCAACAAACACACTCTAGCTAAGCACGGGAGTCTACTGTGGGAAGCAGAGGTACACACTATACAGAGAGGAATATACTAGAAGCAGAGTATACTACAGTAGCCATCCAGCCATGCACTAAGTGAAGGGTGACTAAGAGCACCTCATTGTGTATGAAAACCACTAAAAATGCATGACGTTAGACCCAAAATACCTTTCTAAGCATTTGATACAGAGAGATGTATATTCAGATCTTCCTCAACTTACAAGGGGGTTCCATCCTGATAAACCCATCTTAAGTTTTGAAAATATTGTATGTCAAAGTGCATTTAAGTACACCTAATGTACTGAACATCACAGTTCAGCCCAGGAGAGGCTACCTCAAATGTGCTCAGAACACTTACCTTACCCTACAGATGGGCAAAATCATCTAATACAAAGCCTATTTTATAATAAAGTGTTGAATACAGCATGGTAATTTATTGAATACTGGACTGAAAGTGAACAATGGAATGGTTGTATGGGGACAGAATGGTTGTAGGTATACTGGTTGTTGACCCTTGTGGTGCTTAAGTGACTGGGAACTGCCACTGTCATAGATGATTGTCCCACATATCGCTAGCCCGGGTACAGATCAAAATTCAACACCTGAATTATAATTTCTACTGAATGTGTATTGCTCTCACATCACCGTAAAGTTGAAAAACTGTCAAGTCGAACCATCATAAGTTGGGACTCTCTGTATAGGATATCTATCCATTGCCACAAGATCATTGCAACAAAATATGGCAGAACTTAAATGTTCATGAATGGGAGCTTGATTCACAGAGAACTTAAGCTACATTCCTACAATGAAATACTGGGAAGGATAAAGAGGATCTGCATGTATGATCTTGAAAAGTGTCTGTGATGACATTTTCAAATAAAAAAGTCAATTATGGAAAAATATGAGCATATAGAACAGGTACTGTCCTGAAAAGTGTCCACGATGAATTTTCAAATGAAAAAAAGCCAGTTATAGGACAGTATGAACATGAAAGACAATATAAAAATAAACAAGTATATTTACATAAACACAAACATCTGGAAGGATCAATACCAAACTGCTCAAAGTAGGTATTTCTGGCAATAGATGTAAAGGAAGATGGGAATACATTGAAATTTCACTTTATACATTTTTGAAATGTTAGTTTTTATTATAATGTATGTATTTTACTTTATCATCAGAAAACTGTAAGATTTACATGTGAAACAAACCAAAGTTTGTGTGGAAGATTAGTGGGCGTTGCCGTGAGGATGCTCGGTCCGCCCTTCCTGCCCAAACTCTGGCAGTGTCCTCGGGCAGCTGACCTCCTGCAGGGACCTGAGGGTTGTCAGAGGGACCCAGCAACTGGGCTGTAGTCAGAGGCAGGAGCAAAGAGTGCAGGGGAACTTCACCCGGGTGCGTGTGGTCAGAGGCACAGGTTCTGTTGGTTGGGGTGGAGATTTCACACCAAAGGGCACAGCAAAATGATTGTGGCTTAGGGGGTGTCCATAGGTCTGTTCCATACACAGGCAGCCCCCCAGAAACCTGCATGAACAAGAAAGGTGGGGCAGCAGAGCCCACCAAAGCCTTCCACAGAGACTCCACAGCACCTGCACTTCTGCAGGATTCATTTTTAATAAGAACCTGTGTCAGTATTTGTTTGGGTGGTGAGCCTGTGAGCATAGACTGTCTGTTCAGTGTGTCTCCACTGCTTAGCACCCTGCCTAGGAAAAGCTGAGGTGAGATCAATATTCAGTGAATGGATGAACAAATGGCGGAAGAAAAACGCCAAGACACGTGGCCATGAGTCTGTCCCCAGTGTTCCTAGGTGGGAGCTTGCAAGAGTGGCAGAGGACCTCAGCTGGTGGGGGAGGGCTGGAGGGTGCAGCGACCCAAGCAGGCCATTTCCTTACTGGGATCCACAAATAACCTCACAAGGTCAATTCATGGAAAAACATCAATTCCTAGTTTTAGAAGTGCCGTTAACAATTCTTTTTTTCTTATAGATCAAGGCATGCTTTGGGGAATTTCAAAGATTTGAGCCCTCTTAGGTTGATGAGTGCTGTTGGTCACAACCATCTAGAGTGAAAACACTCCAGGAGAACATAAATAAAAGATGATGCAGGTGTAAGGTCAAGCAGAAGCAGAAAAAATGCTCTAAAGACCCACGTACTTAGCTGCCTACGGCTTAGCCACAGGCAGCAGTGACGCTGCTTCCCACAGCTCCGGGATGAGGGGCCTCAGGAAACTGCTCCTGGCCACTCACGGTCCACAATTACTGGAACTGAGACCTTCAGCGAGTGACCTTTCAGTATCCTGGGAAACTGAATGAGACACATGTCAACACTGCTGCTCGTTTGGTGTCCTGCTCTGACACGTTTCATTGATTTCTGAGGACCATCTGCTTCTCCCAGTGTTAATGGTTTTATCATTGGTATAAGGCTTCATGATCCTGTGTTGTTTTACAGTCATCTTTTTATTCTGAAGTTCTTTTCATACACATATTTTTTAGATGGTTATGCAACTTCATTTTTTTCTTACCATGCAGAGCATCTAGGATAAGCTTGCTTTAAGCTTTGCTCTAAGATTGTCATTACAGTGATGACTTTAGCTAAGCTGACTGGCTTCCTAGCCCCTGATGTGACATGCTCGCGGTCCCCTGGATCTTGGTATATACTGTGGGCACCTGCAGAGCTCCCTGCCACACGAGCCTTCTTTTAGGAGTGGGTCTGACCATAAGACCCTGTTCTGCTTATATTCTCACATTAATAGGGAAATGAGATGTTCTCAAAAAAAGAACTTTCCAGGTAATTAAGAGATGCCTTTTAACTGCCAAAACTACAGAGAAAATTAAAGCATTTTTGTTGAAATTTATTCTAAGCTATTTAAAAGTACTATTTAAAAAAGTACTCCCACCCTCTTGGTTGTCTTTGTGGGTTCACTTTCCCCTTTGGTCTTATAGCAAAATCATCTTTTGTGGATGTGCTCCTGGTGACATTTTCAGAGGACGGTTTGTGATGAACAGCACTCACCTTTCAAGCACCAAAGGGCCCACTGAGCGCAGGGGAATCCCCAGTCACTACAGCCAGGCCTCCCGAGTCACCTGATGCCTCTCTCACTGTTCCCCTCCAGTCCACTCGAGTGCCTGGCCCTGCCATTTGACCCCAGTGCCTTCTAGCCTGCATTCTCCTCGCCATCCCACCACGGCCTCTGTTCTGCTGACCTCCAGCTAGTTAGTAGCTTCCTCCCATCTCTTCTCCCCGAATGCATCTCCACATAGCTGCCCTGTGCAAATTCATCCATGTCACCTCCGTTTTCAAAAATATGAAGGATTCTTATTGACAATGCAGTGGGAAGAACAATCCGTTAGGGGCCCTGTTAAAAATGCTAATTCAGAACCCAAGAATGGACTAACGGTTACAGAAAGGAAAGAGACTGGGCAGGAGTTGTGGGAAGGGAGGGATAAGGGCAGGGAAATAGAAAGAGGGCCTTACAATTAGCATGTATAATGTGGGGGGGGGGCATAGGGAGGAATGTGCAACACAGAGAAGACAAGTAGTGAGTCTACAGCATCTTACTAAGCTGATGGACAGTGACTATAATGGGGTTTGTGGGGGGGACTTGGTGAAGGGGGGAGTCTAGTAACCACAATGTTCTTCATGTAATTGTAGATTAATGATAATAAAATGAATTTAAAAAATGCTAATTCCCTGGCCCTACTTGCAGAGTGTTTGATATCCTAGGTTTGTCTGGGACAAGGCTAGGAATCTGCATTTTAAAGAACCTCTGGCTCTTTTGAGAAGATGGTCACTCTTCCGGACTGTCAATACTGTGCCATGAGGTAATTCCAGCATTTGCTCATCTGTCTCCCATGCCTGGAATTCCCTTCTGCC